GGGGGGAGTGCAAGACATGCAGACACAACAGAGGGATGGTCAATGTAGAAGAGGCTACACAGGCGGCAACCGTCCAACCACTTGCACAGATTTGCTTTATTTTAGTAAGTCTTTTACGACACTTGGAACACAATAAGGTCATACAAGTGCCGGAGATGAGATGTTACAAAGAGCAACAAACGCAAAAACGAAGGAAGATAAATGATAAACAGGAAAGGGGAGCAAGCCGTGCCAGAGAATCTGCCAGCCACCCTCTGAGACATTTACACATTACAATTAATTAATGACAATCAACAAACAGAATGAATTATGTAGATCTACCTTTCTGTTTGAGCAAAGACCAAGAACTGTGATCGCTGTAGTTATCCCTCTTTGACGTTCGCTAGCCAAGTTAAGACAGTATGACAGGACTGTACGTGCGGAGTTGGACTCGTTCACGCAATGGGTTACCTTAGCAAATAATATGACGTTTTAAAGTTATGTCAGGCTTTTTATAGATCTAGCCACCCGTGAAATAGACGAATACGTACGACGCAGTTCCCCGCATCAAAACACACTCACTCACTTCCCTCGGCCCACCCCCGCTGTGTCACGTAAACGTCAAGCCATATGGTCATGTGACAATCGTCGTAACCCAGGAGCAGTAAAGCAGAACTGTGAGTGTCTGAAAAGTAGAACAAACTGTGGGCGTCTTAACATTAAACAAACTGTGGGTGTCAGAAACAAAAGTAGAATAAACTGTGAGTGTCAGAAACAAAGGTAGAATAAACTGTGAGTGTCTTAACTCTTTGACAGCCAGACAGTGTTAGAGAGATTTCCAGGACTAGAGACTTTAAAATAAATTAAGGACTTCCTTGACAGACAGTCCTGATTTTCTAAAAATGTTTCTAATTTTTTTTTCTCTGAAAGTGTTAATGTGTTACCAATGTGTATCGCAAAGCTTCCCAAAGTAGCAAAACCTCCACGTGCAGCACGAAAATCCTCGGGGAATTTTAGCCAAATTTGCTGTTTTTCATCGACTTGTGTGCAGCACCACGGAGATCCCTGAGTTAAAATTTCTGGTGCACGTCATAAACTGGCGTAGGGTCTCGAACTGCGCTCACTTTGGTGGCAATGTAAGCCGCCGTTTGCGCAAAATCCAGTATCGCATCAACATGCCACCAAGACGAAAGCTGAGAGACTTTGATCGAGCCAGAGCTATGGCATGGCTGCAGGATGGAGTTGGAGCCCGAGAAGTTGCCAGACGGCTAGTAGTGTCACATTCTCTCATTGTCCGCCTGAAGATCAGTCCAACAGCGCCCACGTGCAGGTCGGCCCAAGAAGATGACCTTCACCCTGATATTTTCATAAAACACTGCACACTGTTCTGACACACGGACTTCAACGTAAAGGACCACTTATAAACACTCTGATTGGATAACAACATCCCAACAGAAAGACGGAGATACTTGGGTCGAAAGTAATTCTCCCCAAACGAGAATCGAACTCATGCCTTCTGTGGGCGATAGCCAAGCGCCCAAACCGCTTCACAAAAGACGCTGGTATCAAAAGACGCTGGTATCAAAAGACGCTGGTATCAAAAGACGCTGGTATCAAAAGACGCTGGTATCAAAAGACGCTGGTA